ATGCAACTGTGTCTCAGTAGTGAGTGTAAAATAACTCATTGCTGTGAACAGTTTTTCTAGGATAATCACTATGCAACTTTTCCTTGACTCTTGCACTACATCTTCAAGTTGCTAGAAACCTTTGATGTATTTACCTTTAGCCAGTGTCGGGTAATCAGAGGAGCCTGTAGGATGTGAAGCCTCATCCAGCATATAGGATTCATACCTGTAAACCCAGGTAAAACCATTAGTCTTTTCTGCCAACATACCTGCCTTATCAGTTATACTGCTACCTCTTAGTCCTGCTTCTCTCATCAGTGTGTCCTTCTTCCTGTTTCCCCAAATACACAGTGACAACCCCGCTGGTTCTTCACAGACTCATTCTGATTTCTTTATTTCAGTGAAAGTCCCTACAAAGTCTGCTGCTCTACCCAGTAGAAAAAAATAGTGAGAATTACTGCAAGTTATTGTTTCCCTGCTTCTGCCCAGTGCCCAGGGAGCAGAGCGATATTAGAAGCTGTATGGGAAATTTGAAGTTGTTTATATTGGGCAAGTTCTAAATACAAGTGATGAATAGTTTTGAGAGAAGTTGATCCTGTTCTTTTGTTACTGAAATGACAAAAATGAGAGGTGTTATATTTGAAGCTTTGTAAATATGTTTACACAGGTGCCACCTTATACATGGAATTAATTGCTGCAAGGTATTCCTAAACTGAATACTTATACATGTTTGGCTTTACATGTGGTGAAAAAGGACAGATTTAACACCATCAGATGATGGGGGGAAAATGAAGGGAGAGGAAGATAGGTGCAGGACTCTGCAGGTTCATGCTTTGACCACTTCACATGATATGGTGCGCTATCTTGACTAATGCTAAGAGAGCTGAAAGGTGCCTTTTCTTTATTCCCCTTCCTCTGTTGAGAAGCACACTTTACCTCCTTGGTATTGCTTTATATAGTTTCAATTCATGTTTAATGTGGCTTTGTACACTGTAGCACAAGGTTTTAATGGCTTAAATACCTGCTAGTCTCTGAGGTTGGCTGCATGTGGCAGCACGGTGAGGAGCTGCCCTTGCTTCCTCTGCAGCAAGTGAAAAAAACTTTCACTGGCTTCAGTGGGACGATGACTGCACATCTAAAACAAGTAATCCCATGAACACTGTTACTTTCAGATCCTAATTCTGCAATTACTGAATACAAAGGCGTAAGTCCAGGGCCTCAATTATTATTTTGACTTTTTGGATGACTTATCTTAAGACACCAGTGAACTACTGTACAACTTAATTATTACAGCAGTGCAACAATTAATTGGAGGCATTGTGCACAAACCAGGTATTTATTGTGTTCAGGGAAGAACTTGAACAAATAAAATAATATCATACATTTGCAGGAAACTCCTTTTTAATTTATATGTCAGCAATATATGAAAAACTGAAATGCAGACATGTTGTATTTGCCAGGTACTGAATGACAACAGTGGGCACAAAGCAGTATTGTCTGCAGTTCAGCTGAAGAATTAAACCCTTTGAAGTTTGCTAAAGCTTCTTTGGTAATAGTGGCTTGAATATTGGCATAATAGTGTAGATCAGTATTTAAATAGCTGGCAGATTTGATGGTATAATGGAATAAATTCTGCCTTTATCAGAAGAGTTTTGTCTGGTGCCCTTTGGCCTCCTGTGCAAACCAGCAAGCAAGTGGTCTTAAAACGTGCTGTGCTGTGGTCTGACAGAAGCTGCACTTGCCCAAGATCTTTTGCACAGGCCTGTTGTTCAGTTTCACGCATCTCAAATGGACTGTTTGCAGGTTACAAAGGTTATGAATTACTGGTTGTTTAATACAGACACCTAGCAGGCTTCAGTAACAGACCAACAGCTGCCTTTTGACTCGATACGAAAATATATAAATATATATTTGAATATATAAAACTGTGTATCAGAGGAAGTGGTCTGTGTTTTGAAGAGCCCTTCTGTTCAGTCTACATATCAGGCTGAAGTCTTGCATCAGGTGCAGTGTGCAACTCAACTCTCACTACAGTACCGTAACAAGTACCTCCACAGTAAACCCGTAGCTACTGAACTTTTTTGAAGGACATACTGTTGGAATACAGGATGAATATAATGATATGGAAATTTTGGGGATTAAATTGTTGTAAGACTGCTATATAGACAAAGCAATACTTTATTCAGGTTTTTGTCCGGCATTGTAAGATACTTTGCAAGAAACAAAGGTGTCAGAACCTGAGACACTGAGCAAGGACTCAGGAGATGATGTTTCTGGTCTGTCATGCCACTCTCCTGCCACATGTCAGTTAATCTTTCTGTGCTATCATTCTGTGTCTATAGCATGGGAATAGCAGCAGTTCCTTTCTCCTTTGTTTTGTCTGATGTCTTTGGTTCCTAATGCCTGCAGAACTCATTTATGGTCTGTATGTTTGTGCCTTTAGAGAATACTTAAATGAAAGGGATTGATATTGTTAAATGTCTATTATCTGAGCCTTGGAAGTTTAATGTGTTTGAAAACTGCAGCTAACTGGCTCAGAGAATGTGCAGGATCTTGTTTGTTTTTCCCAGCACAGCACCTTCTTTTCTATATGTCTTGTTACAGTGATGTGGTGCCATGATTCAAGTTTCACATTTCAAACAGTAATAGTTGTCACAAGGGTGTGCAAGTTGTCACCAAGGGACACAAGATGTTCCTTGTGAATTATACTCAGCTTCCAAGGTATTATTGTCCTATTGTGCTTAAGGGTCAAACCTTATGGGTTCAGTCAGAAGGCCTTTAGGAGATTTTTTTGAGGGGAGAGTACTTCTTGGCATTGAAATCCTTTGTCAAAGCTTCTATTAAGGTGGTCCTTTCCAGCCCTGTTTCTTCTGTGACTCCAGGTTTTGTTTTGCGGAGAAATCACTCTATAACTGTTGGAGTTATAAAGTAGGTATGTTTATTCAGCGCTGGGTGCATGGGGGATCGCTCCACCACAAGCATGCACATCGTTTGCAGCTCCCGTCCGGCTTATATGTAACAAAACAGTGCATACTCATAAAACACCTATACATATACATAGTCTACCCCCGCCTCCCCTCGCTTCTCATGGTAATCAGGTCCCCTCCTCTTGCACCTGCACGATGAGCTCTCCAAGCTCCGGGCTGGGGTCGCAATCTCCTGGGGAGGGGTCGTAAAGATGAAGTACCTCTTCTTCCTCTCTGATGAACTTTTTACCCTGTCGCTCTGCGCAGCCTCAGTTGTTCTCTGGCTTTCTTCCAGGCCAGTGTTTTGGGGTAGTCTGTTCTTCAAAGACTAGGGGGGACTTCTCTTTGGGCTAGGAGATAATCGCCTAGCAACGTTATCAGTATTTGGTATGTCTTTTTCGAACAGTCCCATACGCCTCCCCTTGTTTTTGCGCAGGCCTTGCACTATCAACCTAAGATTGTTTAGACTCCCCGTCTCAGGTTTTAGGTGCTGTTTATAGGAAGCTTTGACCCATTAGATCATAGACAGAGGGCATCTTGCAGGACTGACTCTTCCTAAGTCCTGCTTTCCAAACCTCACTTTGTTCTTGTTAAGCCTGACCTAACCTAGACTGAAAAACACAACTCTGCCATGGCAGGTCCCCCGCCTGCTCCTGGAACTGTTACTTCAATTCTCCTTCCTCATTGACACCTCACATTTGCATCCAAGTGTATTATGAGATCCGAGTTGCTGACTTGCAGAATTCTTTATTCTTTCCACTTCTGTGTCTGGGAGCTGCAACCACAGTGGACAGCTTGTCAGCAGTCAGTTTGCTAGAGGTAGAAGATTAATGGGCATGGGGGATCAGTCTTCCTGTGCTCATGGCTAGATGTAAAGCCTTCATTGACTTGAGTGAAAACTGAATTAATCTGTTGTGTAATTTGGCTGAACCCAAATTGTGCTTTTTTTCTGGCAATTTCCTGACTGTTTTGAAGTAGCAGGGCAGTAGTGTGTCCTTAAACATGATTTTTTCCTGAATAATTGTTTAAAACAGACAGATTATGTACAGCATGCTTCCTGAAAGGAAGCTGGATTTATGTTTAGGAAGTTCTGTGATAAGATTAACAATTCATATTTTTGAATTTTATTGTTTATTTAACTTTGAAAATATTGTGAGATATATATTTTATTTTAGATTTTCTGTTGTGAATTAAATAGATGCTTATTCATTTTAGCAAAGGAAAATGTGGTCCTGTGAGTTTTGGTCAAAGCTCAACCTTAATTCTACATGGAAAGAGGAAAAAGATTGGAAATGGTGAAGAAGAATAGCAGAATGTTTAAAGACTAAAATCCAAGGTGCTTTATCAGATTCCTGATTCAAATTCTAGATAAAACAGTGTTAGGAAACAGCAAGTCATTGGAGAAAGCCCCCTGCATGTCCTGATTGTGTAAGCAGATCCACATCTATTCTTGTACCCATGTGAAGGCTGTTTACTGTGCATCCCCTTAAAGTTCTTAGTGGGGATGCAGAAATCTGCAGGCACAGGACAGCTTGCAAGTATAGGGCCAAGCTAACCCACAGTGCTTTAAATGTCCTTTCTCATATCGGATACAAGTGTGCCTTCCCAGCATTTTTCTTTGAGGTCTTTTTCCAGGGCTCATTTAAGTGGCTGAGTCTTTCTGTTGATTTTGATGGATTTTGGACTATGCCCTAGGGTAATGGTTGTGAAAATCTGACAACAGCAGAAAAACAAACTGTTTCTGATTCAGGATTGATGGTCTTGAACAAAAGGAAACAAGAATTTTACATGTAACATCAATGTACACAGTGTAACAAAAGGACTTTAACCAGATTTAAATGAAGTGGGATCTGAAACATAGGCCATAATTTAGTGCAATAGAAGAAATCATCTTTCTTGGTTATTCGTAGTACCTTAGAAACTCTATTATTCAGCTATTTTTTTATTTAAATGGGTAAGCTTCTGTATCTGTGGTGTGACAGGTATGTCTCTGCATTTATATACACTGGTGTAAAATGCATGTTTTAGTAAGTGTAATAACTTTTGTTTTTCTAGGTTAGTGGATGACCGGTGTGTGGTTCAGCCAGAGGCAGGTGACCTTGCTAATCCTCCAAAGAAGTTCAGAGGTTGGTAACTGGGGATTCTTTTTTTTAAATGAGTGACTGATGCATGTTCTAACTCCTTGGGCACTTCACCTTACCAGACATGTAACTTCTCAGATGCCTTCATGGTTTGTGAACACATTGCTGAGGTTTCAAACTGGAATATGAATGCCAGATTTTGAGAACTAAATAACAAATCAGCAAAGGCACAAGGGGTGGGTGGAAAACATGGGGAAAGGGACTAGTTTTCTTGTAGTCCAGGAGTTGGTTGCTCTGCTTTGTACACTGAACACTGATTCCCCCACTGTGTCACCAGCTCCTTGCTTTAGCCTTGCTCTTACTGTAAATGGGAAACAAGCTTGTGATGTTCAAAACTACTTGAGCTGCTGGTTTGTTTATTTTTTTAAAAAGAGAAGACAATATTTTAAGAACTACCCCCAAATATTTTATTGACTTTTTGTTTTGCTTAAAACCATATCTGATGTTTCTTGACTTGCTTAGATATGACCTTGTAGATTTGGATAATTTTGCTGTTCTGCTTATTGGAAAAATAACAATGCACTGACAACATGCAGTTTCTAATTCTTGAGTGCTAAAAGATACTCCTGTGGTATCAGCTGTTCTGTGTGTTGATATGCAGGGAAGGAAATAAAACCTCTCAGTCTTATCTGTACTTGGTTTAAGTGATTGGCTCTAGCTGTGACAAAGTAGAGCCTTACTAGCCTGATCCAGACCTTTTGACTTAAATGATCTTGGATTCACACCTGTTATGAGATAAAGACAGTTATGGCTTGGCTGGTTTAGAACAAGGGAAATGTATGTTATGGCTGCTTGTATCTGTCTCAAAGGGTTGCAGTGACATTCTTAACCATATTAATACATTTCCAGGATTTATGATACTGTTGTATGTATATGCTATTATTGCAAAAAAAAAAGTGGTGTTTAAAATATTAAGAGACTGAAGTTTTGCTTTCACAAAGTATTCAAGATTTTTTCCATTATATATTCAGGAAGCATCAGCAGTTCCAGTTCCAGCTGTGAGCATTCAGCACATCAGCAGATCTTGGAAACTGAGAAAGTGAGGATGTATATTTAGAAACTAGTAGTAATAAATTCCAGTCACTTGCGTGATGTCACAGAATAGCTTTGTAGCAGAGATGGGGATAGCATCTAGTTCTCCAGTGTGGCTTTCAGGCTAGCTAACTGTGATTTCATCCTCTCACTGCCTGCAAATACATGTTTAATTCACATCTTCTAGGTTGCACAGAATTTCAGGTGGAGGCTCTTTGGACAGTATTTCTGGCACTTCACCACCCTGATGTGTTCCCAAAGTAGAACATGTCCAGATGAGACAGGAGTCACTGGAATAGGTTTGCATGCAGTAGCATAATTGCAGAATACATCCAAATGTCTAGCATCAAGGAGGTTAAAAAGACAGCCTTAACTTTTTTCATTGTCTGATGTTTGAAGGCTTGGTTTTATAACTTCAGTACAGTTTATCACAGTTCTGACATGTTCTTTCCTAACTTGAAAAGGCAAAGAAGGGAGAAGTTGAGTGTTCTGTGTTTAGGGTTTTTTTTAAGGGAAAAAAAAAAAAAAAAAAAAAAAAAAAAAAAAAAAAAAAAGGTGATTTCAACAGTATCAAGAAGTCTGGGCACTTTGATCCAGGGTGCAAGGTTATTGAACCCTCAGCACTACTGTCATGCCATCAGTGGTGGCAGGACTACATGTGTAGTAGGTAGATGAGATGTCAGAAGGGGACAAGACACAGGCAAGATGTACAGCTGATTTCTGCTGCTGGGGGAATGTACTCCTGAGTTACATCCCACCTTCTGTAGGGGAATGTTTTCTATTAATTGTAGACAGTTTTGGCTTTGTTCTCTATTGCAACATCTGTCTGTTGCTTGCATAACACATCCCTTTATTTCTAGTTTCCTCTGTTCCCTCTTCCCCACAGTATCTAGCCTTTCCTTTTCTCTAACTCAGATCATTTATTTCTCCCTTTCCTTCCTTGCCCCAAAATTTGTTACTAGCTACTTTCCTTCTCCTCACTACTGACTTTTTAGCTCCCTTTGGCTCCAGCTGCCTCTCCTTTTGTCACTCCTTACCTCTTTTTGATTTGGGATGTATATACCTAACAATTTTGAAATGGCTTGCTTATCTATTTTTAGCATTGTGGTAGTGTGAAAATTTAGATGAAATCTGTCTATAAGAGAAGCTAAATTAGCAAAAAAGTGAGTTTTGTCACCTTAATTGATGCAATCCACTCACTATGCTATAACATCATGATTATATTGTTAGGGGCTGCATCTTGTGTTTTCATGCTGCATCAGGTACATGTAATGAAGTGGCATTCAGGAGAATGGCTAAAACAAAGATAAAAACCATTGTTTTGTTGTTTTCTCCTTCATATTACAAGTCAAATTCTAAGTGTGAGAATAGCAGGGGTTTTACTGAGAACACAGCAGAAACTTGCTCTCTAATTGGGATTTAGTGCCTGGTACTATGGAGGTGTCTGTATTATGGGAGTAATCAAACCCACATTTCTGCCCTAATTGTTAAATATCTTAGCTCTGCTCAAGAGCAACAGAAGAGTTGCTGGATGTTGTTCTTATAACCAAGAAACATGGGAAAAAACATCCTCCCCTGAATCTTCTGGGAAATAGCATTCCATTAAAATGGCAAAGTTAATAAAACAAACAAAACCTGCTTTGAGTAGGTTCTTGACATAAAGAGAAGACATAGGCATAAATGATTAATTGAATGATTAGACATAAGTAGGAAGAGTAGGGCCTCTCTAGTAACAGGAACTGCTGTCTGTATGGTTTACAATGTTTTTATCACTGATAGCTGAACTGGCATTGGTTTGAGGTTAGAGCACGACCTAAGAGTCAAAGAAGTATGAGAAAGGCATTTTTCTAGCAAGATGTTTAGATTCCAAGGACTGACTCTAAAAATCAACATCAGAGAACTATGTTTTCTCTTTTTTGGTAATATTTTATTAACCCTTTCCCCAACAGAAAAAAACCCCAAAGGACTGTGTTTTCTAACTACTTGTATCCGTCCTACAGAGTTCATTCAGAGATCAAATTTAGGTACTGAGCTGTTGGCCTGAACTGAAAGCCTACATAAAGGGGGTGCCTCAATAGCAGTTTTTGGTTTTGTTATGTGTTTACTTTTTTTTTTTTTTTTTTATGGATGTAGCTATTCTAATTGTTTCAGAACATCCTACAAAATTGAGTATTTTTAAGCTAAGGAAATCTGTGGTTGGTTTTCATTTTGTGTCCATACAAAGAAGCTATGGTCCAGATTTCCCCTTTAGTCATACTGCAATGAGCCTGGAGTGGTTCTGTGTCCATCAGTGTGAATATCCAGATTTGCATCAGTGCAAAAGAGGGCAGAATTGGGTCCCACACATGTTTCCTGAGGTATGTTGAAAAAAAAAAAAAAAAAGCATTTACTGTTTTACAGTTGAATTTAAGGGATTGATCAAGCCAGGTGCTTCTTGTCCTAATTCTCAATTCCATCTAGTGTTGTGATGGAAATGCTTACCCCGCTGCAGGGCCAGGTTCACAGAGGGTAGGAAGAATAATAGTGTGTGCCAGAACTCTTGTACCTCTGAAGAAAAATCACATCATGAGCAACAGAACTGCAAGTTTTCTTAGACTGTGATGTTAAACACACTTTGGCTTGTTGCTGTTATCTTCAGTGGGAAACACTTTCAGCTCCCAAGGTGTAAAATAGCATAAATAAGACCTGCTTGTTGGTCAAATTTAGCAACGCTGAAAAAAGGAGCACAAGTTTCTCTTCTATTTTAAACATAAAATGACCTAAGTTCTTAAACTGATTTAAACTTTCTTACATTTTATACCCCTTTTTCTTGAGGCATCTGTGAGGAAAGTGATGTCCAAGTTCTTACATATTGTCCTCTTGTCTTTCTCTCGATTTTTTTGTCTGTTCTAAGATTTTTCTGATATTGTTCTTTCCTCTTCTCTCCCTTTCATTATGTTCCTCTGTGCTCTCTCTCCTTTCCTCCTCCTACCCTTTCCTCTGCTATCTGCCATTTTCCTTTTTACTTGCTGCCTTCTACACCATTTTGGTTTGTCCTTGTGTTTTCTTCTTGTTTCTCTCAGTTCCATAATTGCTTTCATTTTATTCCAACTCCTGATTGCTTTTTCTGCTGTCCTCCTTGGGACTCTTCATTGCCCCAGTCCTTGCTGCCTCACATTCCTCCCTTTCTTTGCTTGCTTCAGCTCTTTTTTACCTTTCTGTGGTTTGGTTTGTATTTATTTTTTTTTTTTTTAAACAGATAGGTGTGTACACACCGTGATTCCATAGCCCTATCACTTTCACTTACTCATTTGTCAGCCTGCTGTTTTAAGTAAAGCTGTGTGATGTGTTTCTCTATCACAAAAGTCTTCAATGATGGGCAAGAGTTGAATTTCTAACACTTACAAAAAAATAGAAGGGGGGGCAGGGAGAGAAAGCATCTGACAAATACTGTTCTAAGCCATCTTTATCCAATATCAAGAAACATTTAAAAGGCATAATATGAGTTATTTTCCTTTTCAGACTTCCTGAGCGTAGTTACTTTTTTGCTCAGAGGATGTGCTGTGTGTGGTTGTTCCACCCACTGTTGCCTTTTGAAGACCGATGTTTTGTGCACATTCGTAGGCTCGGGCAGATGGTCAGTTCTGTGCTCAGTGCAGCCTCTGTGGATTGTCTCCCGCACACTGGGAGTTAATGCATTCCATCTTTTTGATTGTTCTGATTAATAAAGGTCTTTTTCCCTCCCATAAAATGAGTAATTGATATGTGCCTCAGCACTGATAATTTGTCGTATTTCCTTCCTTTCTAATAATTCAAGGTATAGTGTAGGAGGTTAAGCCTGGAGTGTGACCAGAGAGAGCTCCTTTTTTTCCATTTTGTAAAGAAAATTGAAGTGATTTGTATTGTTTTAAAAATGTGCATGTGGGCTGTTGTGGGCCATGTTTCTCATTTTCATCATTTCCACTTCATGCACAAGTAATTGAAATTTTGCCTGGAAGATTTTGTGGGTATGAGAAAATTGATGAAACTACAGAAGCTGAATGCATTAGAGTGCAGTAAGTGAAACTTGCTGATGCTTTTAAGCTATTTGTTTTAAAGCTTCTTGTTTACCTCTGGTAGAGCCTACTTAATTCCTCAGGAAGGGAAGCATTTAAGTAAAACTAAAGTAATGAGTTAGGAACTAGTACTATCCAAGAATGTCTGGAGAAATTAAAAGAGATGGTCTGTTTCATGAGTGGGTTGCTAAACTGACCTTCAAGAGATCTGAGCTTTTGATCTACTGTGTGTGCTGGAAAATTGCTTTATAATCTTATGCCTCAGTGTCTCTTTTTTCCTATTTATTTAAACTATAACTTCTCAAGGGCAGGCACTGCTTCCTTCCTCCTCCGATGTTTAGGACCACAAAGCTTGCATTTATATAGTATCCTATTGCTACTCTAATAAAAGTGATTGGAAAAAAAACATTTAAAAATAATGAGATGACCTATTATTAATGTATCTGGAATCTTAACAAAAAATAGGGAAAAGCTTGTCTGGAAACAAAGCATATGGGGATTTTTTTGTCTATAAATTGAGGAAAATACAGTTGAAATACTTATTTTAAAAAAGTTATTGGTAGTTAAGCTTCTAAAGCACTAGATTGGAAATCAAGAGAGCTGTGTCGTGTAGCATAGCTACAGATGTGTGGTGGCTGAGGTTTTCTAGCGCCTGCTTTACATTTCCTCTTCTTTGAGAACTATCATTAGGAAGAATTCACCCCCTTTTGGGAGGCAGACCCACACAGTAGTGACTGCACATCTTGCATTTCTCTGCTGTGTGGTAACACTGTGCTTTGAGACTCTGCGTGAGGGTGGGAAGTGGTGTGTTTATTCAAGTAGCAGGATGTGTGGAGAGTAACTGATAAATGAAGACTAGTCCTATGAAAAGAAGGTATTGTTATGTTATTGTAAATTTGTTCTCAAAAGAACTCTCTAAGTCTTAGACTGTCTGCCTTCTAAAACTTCAAACTTTATTGCAGCGCTGGATGCGTGGGGGTTCATTCCACTTAAAGTGCATACACTAAAACAAAAGTTCGTCCTTTATATACCTTAAAGACATGAATAGTCATACCTTTTCCAAGAAATCTCCACCTTTCTGCCTATCTACTATATTTACATAGCGCTGGTGTTGCAAAACTACACTACACATGCATGGGGATCTAGGGTGGTTGTCAGTGGTCGTTTGGGGAGTTAGCCATCGTCTCCTTTTTCCCTTTTATGGTCATGAGTCTTTGAGGACAATTTCTTCTCCTTGGATGTTGTCTGGCCAGGCTGTTCCTTCTTATCTGCCTTTTTTGAGCATTTCTGCCAGGCTGTATCTATTCTCAAGATTAGGATATTTTCTCTGTACATCTTAATCACTCAGGCTTTGTTAAATACAAAATTAAACATTGTTTGGTAAAAGAATTTAATATTTCCCCCTTTGAGACTTCCAGGTATACACAACTAGGTACAACATGACCACATAAGGTATGATGGAATGCTTCTCTTATCACTACTTGTTACAGGCCTCAGCTTGCAGGCACCAACTGCTTGCAAGCAGCAGCTAGCACGCATCAGTTACTTCCCAGAAATAAGTGTTTCATGAAGTCTCCTGAGAAGGCACGTTAATTATGGATTCTTACAGAAAATAATAGCAGAGATTTTGTCTTATGAGCTGAAATCCTGATACTCAAAATTAAATCTCCTACAACATACAGCATTTTGTAATTGTTAGCTTTTTTTTTTTTTTGGTGTCCAGGATATTGTAAAAGTTACCTGTAGTTATGTACTCTAGGTTGTATGATTTAGTTCTCATTGTAAACATTCCCTATTGAAATGAAAGTAAACACCCTTGCAATGTGGCTGTATGTGCTTTGATAAAGATTTGCAATATATCCTAGGAACAGCAATTTAGGGCTGTGATAAGGGAGCAAATCAATGAGGCCTTTAGGTCAGTGCCAAGGAAAGTTCTACCACTGATGGTGGTTTTTGTATGAACAAGTTTTGTCACTGTGGATAGTAGGGGAAGATCAATGGCTATGAAGGGAAGAGGCAATGCAATGGAAAGCTTGCTATAATGATGGCCAATACATGAGAGGCCAAATGTCATATTTACAGAATTAAAAGCTTTGCAGTTTAGTTCATGGCTTGAGAGCCAACACTGCTGCAAACTGTCAGCTCTGGGGATGCAGGTGGTGGGAGGAACATGTGTCATGGTGTTACTCTAGTGGTTTTGACAACACTAACATCAACTTAGCTGGGTCTGATTGTAGTTGAGAGAGCTTCCCGGTTTATTTTAAGTAATGAGAGTTCATTTTTACTTAGGAAAGGCAAGGCCTGTCTTCACACTAGATTTCCCTTTCCTCTTCTGTTTTGTTACAAGAGGTGTTCCTACTGTAACATGGTTTCAGTAACTCCTCACAGGCTGTGAGGATATGGGTATGTTGGATTTACCTCGGAGGAACAAAATCTCCTCCTTTCCCCCCCTTTGTGAAAGACTAATTCCACTGTATTGACAGTGTTGAAAATGAGAATAGGATATGCCTTGGTATCTAGCATCTTCTACAGAGAGGTTGTGAATTTGACACTGAAGGAAACGTTTCTCACCACAACTTCCCACATGTGCTGTTGTGGATTGGAGAGCTGGAACAAGTCCTAGGTACTTAGCAACTGCAGATGTTAAACTTGCTCTGGAAATTAGATAGTGAGTAGGACAGCACCATAAAAGTTGACCTGATTCAGTGGTTAAAGACCCAGACTATGACTTTGGGATAGTTCCTTATAGCTTACTGTTTTGACATTTTTTTGTGACAGTAATGGGTGAACAATGAGATTAGTCTGTATTTAAAAATGACATGCAAGGTTGGTGAATTCAACAGGGTCACCTATGCATTGATTCAGTGTGTAACTGAAACGTCTACTTAGTATTGATATTGCAGTTGCTATTTCATATTGCAGCACCTTTTGATAACAAAGATAAGGGTGGCTATACAGTGCTACTGGAAAGGAAGTCTTTGGAGAAGGCAGCAGGAGAGCTGAGTGTAGAGAGGACTGTTTTAAAATTATTTTGTGCTATGTGATGTGTATGCCATTATGTTGGGTGTGGTAGTAAATAAGCACTTCATGTTGACCACATGGAGCTAGTATGCTTGTTCTTTTTCTTTTCTGTATTTTTGTGAGTAGCACTGTCTGTGCTATACTCTGTGCAATGTAGCTTCCCAGTGGTGTTGCAGTCTCTTCATGGGAAGGTTGCTTGATGACCAGCAGAGAAGTGATCTTGCTGATTCTGGCCAATTTGGGGTGTCAGGGTCTGCGAGATGTGCTTGTGGGATCAGAAGAGAAACTTCTTTATTCTTGGTCCAGCCCTGGGGCAAAACCTCTTTGAAGTAGGATACATTGCCACTATTACCTGACTCTAGCTTCTGCTGCAGTTGGGTGGCTGGGAGTCAGGTAGGAATAGTTACTTACCTGGACAAAATTCTTCAAAGGTTGTTCTCATCTGGGGGTGGATTAGTCTGTGACAGTTAAATATGGAGGGCTAACAGTTTGGGACAGACCTTTCTTTGACATCTGTAAATTGTACCACATGTTGGGGAAGAGTTTCACACAATAATACACATGCAGTCCTGTATGTTCTTACTAGTCTCACAGCAAAAGTCTGATTGCTAATTAAAACTTCCCTGTCCCTTCCTCTTGTCAGTTGGTACACATGGGGTGTGAAAGGACAATTACATCTGCCAAGTAGAATGTCTTTCAAGCCTAGCTTTTAGAGTAGTTGATTGGGACCATGCAAGACTAGGTGTTGTTTATCACTCTAAATGTAGTTGGATTTGGATTAATTGTGAGCCTCTATTTCCAGTCTATAGGACTGTCAGTGGCCCAGAAAAACCCAGAAGTGCTGAGTCAGGGAATTTCACAAAATTTATTTATTGCTAATTAACATTAAATTATTGATTCTGATATTGGGAAATAAGGATGAACAACTGAACAAGCACTTAGGGAAGCCAAGGGATGCTTCCCAACAGACACATCACTCCCTCTTCTCAGTCCCCAGCCCCATTGCTGCACGCTGCATGTTGTCCCTGCAGGGAGGTGATGAGGAGGGGATGGGGGTCAGTGCTTTGCAGCTCACTTTGCTGCTTCTCATTTCCGACTCCATGGTTCCCTCATTGGCTGCAGTCTCCTCAGGGTGTACCTCCTCCTCTGTCCTCAGTCAACTCTTCTCAGGTGGCCTTCCCTTCCTCCTTACCTGTTTTTTTGCCTGGTCTATTGGATGGTGGTGGTGGTCAGTTTGTGTCACTTAGTTGTTTTAACATTTTTTTAAAATCAGTCTTAGTAGACCTGAATACTGCATTAACCTCTTTGGTGGCTTGCAGCTGAATGCCTTTGCAATCCTTTGTTTCAGCAATGCCAGAAGGAGCAGGGCAGCCAGTTGTATGGCATACAGAAAGCAGGACTGTTTGTTCAGGGTTTTGCATGTCTTCAGTGTGTTTCTAACATTGTGCTGCAGCAAAGAGCACTAGTAAAGCAGCAGGAAATTTTGCATAGGCCAGGCTCACAGCCTGGGATTCTGACAGAGTTGCAGAGTGGTTGCACAGAGTGGGCATGTGTGAGGCATTGAAGGCTTTAGGTTCAACTCAGATGTTCTGCACCCTGTTCATAATATTATTGCCATGAAGCTGTTTGGTGACTATGTTTAAACACTGATATCTAGGTGTTTCTGGAAAAAGAAAACCAACCAAAGCATACTTAAAAATTAAGGCAGTGTCTTTCAGTGTTACTTATGAGTATTTCTTTCAATCTTCCGCAGACTGCCTTTTCAAGGTGTGTCCTATGAACCGATATTCAGCTCAGAAGCAGTACTGGAAAGCCAAGCAAGCCAAACAAGGAAACCATACAGAAGCAGCACTGCTAAAGAAACTTCAAGTAAGAGACATCTGTATTTGTAATCTTATCTCAATCTGCAGGCTGTAGAATTACAATAGAATGAGAAAGAATAATAGTAAGTGCATGGGAAACACCATGGTGGGTATTATTATGCTACCATAGCAACTTCATATTCTCCTTAGCTCTCCTACCTTCTGACTGTCATTATTGCCCCGCCCTGTTTTTTATCTTACTTTGGGTTGGGGGTTGTGCCTTTGCTATAGGTAAAATATACTTTCAGAAGTTTTAAAAGGTAAAAATTAAGTTGTTAAAATTAGGAGTGGGCCCTGATTTACATCATGCTGTTATTTTTGAAGTCCTTTCCAGGAGTTAGGTGGAAGGGTAGATGAATGTTTTCAATGCTTTTGTCTGAAAATTCCTCAGAACTGCAGTTGTTTTTGTTTACAGTCTAGGTGATTCTTCTCTGAACCATTGGGTAGATTCTGTTTTGCATCAAATACAGTGTGGATAGAGCAACTTCTCTGTCTGTGAAAAAGAGATGGCCTGATGTTATAATTCAGTTAATAAGACTAAGTGAAAACAAGGTCATGTCAAACCCAGCTGATAGTTTTATGTGCAGTGGAGAGGCTGCCAGTGCTTCCATTTAAAAACAACGAGGAGGAAGGCACATTGTGTGTGGCTAGAGCTAGCTACACGGCAATTGGAGCTACGAGCTGAGAGTTTGTTCTGTGGCTGTGTTTGACCCAGACTACTGTGCTTAGCCATGATTTTGCAATGTGTGACCTACTAGCTTTGTTTTGTTATATATAAAGTCAAGGTATTTATATGCAATTGAAAACCCAGCAAGTAACAGGAATGGTGACAAGGAAAAGCTAATCATCGGCCCTCTTTTTCTTTCAGGATAAAATAAAGCACTTGGAATTAATTTTCATGCTTGAAAATTTTTAAAATAGCACGCATCCATAAATTGTGGCTGAGTTTCTATTCTGTGTAATAAAAAACCAGAATCACTACACAGGGTCTGGGTGATTACAGTTCAGAAAATTATGCTGCAGCAGGATTCAGGGGATAATATTTTCGGTGCAGTAATTCTTGCAGGGTGGAGGAAACGTTTTAAATGTGATGGCATTTCCTTTTTACACTATCTATTCTAGTAGCTGAATACAGTACTGAATACAGTACTGAGTACTGATTTTGTAAAGTTTAAAGAAATAATCATTCTCTTGCAGCATGCGGCAGAACTGGAACAAAAGCAGAATGAAAGCGAGAACAGAAAGCTGTTGGGTGAAATTGTAAAATATAGCAATGTCATACAGGTAAACCTATTGAAATCCATTTTCCTTCTCTCAGAGCTGGAAAGGAAATAGTTTCATTTCAAGGTTACAGTGAAAATGAAACTAACTGCTGTAATCAGGATTGTCAAGGGTCAGGTAAACAGAACTTGGTGAAGTTTACAATATTGTGTTTTTCTGTCTGTTTTAAAGCCTACCAGAAGTGCTCTGTATTTATGTTTAAATAATAAGTTGTAATATAAATTTTATGTGTAATTTTTGCTGCTGCAGTTTAAAATCTGAGTGCATATATGTATCTTTTATTTTCAAGATTTATTTCAAAATCATATTATAGAGGTGCTGTGCAGCTTCTTTTAAGTCACTGAAGTAATTTGTGCTTCATGACATATGAAACAGATGTTCTTAAGGGCAGTACAGATTTCTTGTAATGGGTGAAATTCCTGAAAGTAACACTGTAAATGGACCATTGCCCTACCTGTGTAGTATATTCTGTAGAATTGATCACTGACACATTTCTCTCAATCTGAGATAAAATATCTGTTTTCCTAAATAGCAGTATATTTTGATAACTCTCTCCAGTTTTGTCTTTATGTATGGTATGAATAATCACTACAGTGTGAAAGCCTATGCCTCCTCTTTTGACTGAAGAGAGAAAAAGCAACAGCTATAGTATTTTTTTAAAATTATTGTTTGTTCACAGCTACTGCACATAAAAAGTAACAAGTACCTCACAGTTAATAAGAGATTGCCGGCTCTGCTAGAGAAGAATGCTATGCGGGTGTCTCTGGATGCTGCAGGGAATGAGGGATCCTGGTTTTATATCCAGCCGTTCTGGAAACTGAGGAGTGAAGGTGACAACGTAAGTAATATTGAATGTGTAAGAAGGAGAAGGCAGAAAGTTTCTACAAGATACATGATTTCTTTTCTACCGGCATAAATCATAGTGGATTAAGAAAAAAGTATTTTAAACAGTGCTTGGGACTGTTAGCTTTTATGTTTAAGTAGAAAGTGTTACCAAATTATGTGGTCTTGAATCTGAAATGTTGTCACATGCATATGAGCCTCTGATGATCTATGTTGGGGCATCTTTGCTAAGTCCACCTGCTGTGTCCAGGCTTACAAAGCTGATAATAAGTCATAGTTTACACTATTTTTTTTTTAATTTTAAAGGGTTTTTTTTTTTTAATATTCTGGGCAACGTTTTTTTCAAGAGGTCAGCAGAGAATGTCTCTAGGAAATACACCAGCTTTCTTTAAATCTGTATCACCCCTCTATGGTCAGAATTGGGTTACATAGTCTGGTGGGTCTTCTGGGTAGGTTTCAGTAGGAGCCTTGCATGCTGGTAAGAGGGAGAATACATATGAGAGCTCTTTGCTACAGGTCTGAGTTGTGCCATGAGATCAAAACTTCATTTGGTTATGTCTTGGTTAAGTGCCTGCTGTCGAAAATTCAGATCTGCCTCTGGGAAGGCCACATGATGAACTTGTGTGGTTTTATATTGTAGACCTGGCTGAGAATGTTTGGCCACGCCCCTGTGAAGTAATCAAGGAAAGAGCCCTCTCAGGATCTCAGACAGGAATGCCTATTTTCTCATATATTTTCTTTCATTAGCTCTGTGGTTACCCAGCTCACCCAGGATGAGTGTTGTTGCCTGCAGCTCCTTTTGGAAATCTGTTGTGGGGAGGGGAAGGACTGCATTCCCAGATCTTGGTCAGAAGTCCCTCAAGTCCTAGTCTTTCCCTGCTCCACAGAGTGATCAAAAGGGTATGTGAAAAGCTCCCCTCTTCTGCAAGCCTGTTGCAGAGAAAAGCAGCAGATGTGAGTAGCCCTCTGGGGCACCTCTGCATGGCTTTTTAGCTAGGGAAGAGCAGTGTTGTGGATCAAACATAAACCTGGTATTCCTTTCTCTCTTTGGAAAGAAAAAAAGGTGACTTTCTGCTTTAAGGTTCTGGCTCAGTTTCTTAGAATAACATTGGCTCGGCATTTTCTTAATGTCTCATGCCTGGGAAATAAGTGCATGTCATGCTCTCCAGAGTGAGGACCTTGGGTTCCCAGATTGTGATCTCAAAGCCATCATGAGCCTTTATAGCTGAGAGGAGCAGACTTAAGCCCTATAAGTCATCCTCAGTACTATAGAGTTTTTGATTCAGTTTTGCACTATTGTGAGCACATAAGAGTTTGGAAGCAGTTTTGCTGATCTGAAAAGTTTGTGGGTCATCAGTGATTGCTGTAACATTCCACTCTACAGACCTCCCTCACAGTTTTTTCCCTGTGGGGCTGTATTTGACAGGCTCTGAGCTACAAGGGATGTGTGGGAAACTGTCAGGTTTACTCCTAATTTAGTAGTCTCCTTTGGAACCTACCTGCTGCTCATTTTTTGTCACCAGGTGTTGTCTTTCAAAACTGGGAGCTTGTCATTTTATTTTACAGAGGGAAGTCTTGAGAACCAAATTTTTCCTCCTTTACACTAGGCTGAAGCATATGTGATAATTTTATTTGCAAACTTCCAGTGCTACACATTAGTCCATTGGTGACTTTCTCATAACTACTCTGGCACATTTCCACCCCTTCAACAGTTATTGAAACTAGGCAGCTGCTGTAAGGGGTTACAGGGGTAGCAAGTGATGGGGGAAATCCTTCATTTACCCCTCACAGACAGAGAGATGCTCCAGTCTTGTTTCCCAATTCTTCCCTCTCAGTTATTCCCAGACATGTGCCCATTAAAAGGCTAGTTTCTGGGGAACTCCTCTACAAAGCCGAAGACCACATAAGCTGGAGCTAGCTGCTTTACCCACTCACTAGGCTAGCTTTTAGAGGGCTTTATATCTTTTTGTATGCTTCAGTGCATGGAGTTAGCTTGGTATATCAGGCCCTTATTCTGTTTGGAAATGTGGGGTTTCTTTATTTTCAATTTCTGTGCTATAATGAGGAAAATCCCTAAGAAAACACATTTTAGAAAGTCTGTAGAAGTGAGTATTGAATTACTGCTTGGATGACTGCTACAGTGTCAGATAAGGCAAGGTAGATCCAAATATGCCATATATCCTAAAATGAAAGAAGGTGGTTTACTCTGGAGCAAGCTGAGATATAGGAAGTCATGTCTGTGACTGTCATCACAGTTGTTTAGCCTTGTGAAATATTTTAAAAACTAGTTTTTGGAAGGAGGCTTAGCTTAGCTTCATTAGCAACTGAGTAGTTATGCAAGTCAATGAAAGTAATGAAAAAATATGGCTGAAAATTTACAGTAATTGGCACAACTGCAGTTTTTTATTCAGACTTTTACCAAGCGTATACTAGCTCTCCTTCAATGGAAGATGTGATTTAGGTTAAAGCTGGTTCCAGTTCAACTCAATAGCAAAATGTGCACTGACAGCAGGATTAGATGTGTGGATTGCATTTTCAATTGTCTGCCGATTTAGTGGTTTGAAAGCTTGATCTTGCAGCATGCTGAGGGAGGTGGTCTTGGACTTGGGGAATGCCCAGCCATCTGTGGGAAAGTTCTGTTAATCCTCCTGATATTTGAAGTGTGTGAGCAGTGCCACTGACAGATGTAGTTATGACATACAAACAGTGGAGGTGGAATACCAGAGCCTTCAGTGAGCCCAGTAACCTACTTGGATAGTTAGTCCAAACTGAAAATGCTGCTACTGCATCTTCACAGCTAACATAACCTTTTGTAACTGCCAGTCTTTATGATATACTTTACTAGTATTCGCTCCTACTTCTTGATTGTAGTGTAGATGTGGCTGTCAGGTGGGCTTACTGAGTTTATATGAACAATAGAATCACTCTAAGTGATGACAGTGGTGGTCCCTCCCCCAGAACACAGTCAGCTTTGACTGTGGCTCTTCCCACTCTCAGTATAGCCTCTCCACTAAGAGATGGACAAGTAGGGTTGCATGAATTTAGAAATTACCTTGGTCAGGAAGAACTACACTGCATCCAAGACTGAAAGACCTTGTAAATTTCTCTTGAATTTTAAAGCTGAATTCTCACTGGCTTCATAATGAATTTAATAATTCTTTGCAAGTTTGTTATCTAGACCAGAAAGGGTAAGAGCTTTGCAAAGCAATCCGGAATGAAATTCTCAAAATCTCTGTGTCTGATGCAACTTTAATGAATCCATGTCTATATGCAAGGAAGAAGTCCCAGAGACCAGTCAGACTATTACCTGCTGCTGGTCTACAGAATACTGTGGATGGCTGTGCTCAAGGGTAGCTAAAGGAAGAGCAGAAAGAGCTGGTGTCAGTTTTAATTTTGCAGAGCAAAACCTTGGGAATACATTGCTCTGTCTTCTGTAATCTCCATCTAGTACAATTCTACAGGAGAAATATGGACACATGGGCACACAAGTGGTCTGCCTCCAGTCTTTTGGGCATGCTGGGGCATTATTTGGAGCCAGAAATCAACTAGGTAGAGGACAGGAGGAACTCAAAAGAGCAGACTTGCAACTTGTCCCAGGTAGCCACATATAAGAGAAGAGGATTCCCTTTTCACTTTGCTTTCATTTTCTGCATCACTGATGGAGGGTGTATAGGAAACAAGCTCTGCGAAACTGCCTCTATCCCTTCCTTCCCAGCCACCTGTGGAGGTCTGAAGAAAGAAGAAAAAGAAGAAAGGGGAAGAACATAGGATAACTCATTGTTTCTATGACAGCTGGCAGAGCTGGCCAGTGTTGAGGACAGGTTACTGATGGGGACTTGGAGCAAGGCAGGAGTCTGAGACAGAAACAGTGACCCCACATAACAGTTCTTCCTCAGATGTGTGCCTACAGCAGAGTAACCACGTACATCTTCTTTCCATGGTAGTCACAGGCTTGCATTCAAAGATACCTTCCTCTTGCCCATCCATTTTTTTCTTTTTAAATAAGATGCTTAATTATGTGCTCTCTTACTCTTATAATTAAGCTGTTACAGTCCTGGTATACTTGCAATAATTTTGAAGTCCTGATTCCACTTTGCAGGATGCAAGCCTGATGGTTTTTTGCTTAATGAATTGTCTGATCATACCTTCTTGAAATGGGCTGTAATAATATCTGTGTGAAGCATGGCATGCAGGAATGTATTGCATAAGTAGTGTATCTTAAAGGTGTCTTGTCATTATTTCAGTCCCATTAGTGAACTTTTTCTCGTTACTTGGATCAAATAGGATTTCTACTTGTAGTCTGAGTATGAGGAAGCTGTCTTTTGCTACTGTTTATTTTAGCTGTGTTGGTAAAGAGCTGGCAACCTCCTTTCACCTCTGCAGTAAGTGGGTCAAATTCACCTGTGTTGAAGTCACATGAGGCTGAATTGGGCTCTACTTTTTCATAGGAAATGTGCTGATCAGTGCAGAAAGCATTTTTGTCTATTTGTGTTCCAAAAGAAAGCATGGCTTGTGCAGCATTTCATACAGCAAAAATCACATGTAGCCACTTATCTTCATGTGTCTGTGTGCATAAAATATAGGCAAATCAGGATCCAGTGCCAACCAATCTATGTGGATTGATTTTTTATTTTATTTTTTTAAAATTGTTTCTTTTTTCCTCCTCTCCCAAGTATGAATTGAGTTCTCTATATGCAAGTTTCAAGCACTTTGTAGGTCAAAGACATTTTCATAGATTGTTTTTCCCTGTCTATATAGGTAAAGAATTGCAAGGGCACGGGAATTTGCTTGCAGGGAGTCAGCTAAGAATTACTCTGAGAGAAGGTCTCTCAGCTGATGTAACTGCTGCCTATGCTGAGGTCCAAACACCATTTAAGGAGTAACAGCAGAGAGGATGGAGTGTGTTTGCCTCTCTGAATTTCCAGTGATTTATGTTCCTTTCCATATTGCAGTCATACACTCTAAATTGCAGAACTCCTGAGCCTATGACATTTGCCAGAAGATGGTCCACAGAGTTGGGGAGTCACTGGGCTAACAGAGTCTTGTCACAAGCAAATTTTTAAGGCTTTTATGAAAGACACATTGGTGGGAGAAGCTTGGCTGAAAGCAAGGGAGGGAAAGGAGTTTTGCTGTCTGACTACAGATTATTTTCTTAGCTTTTTCTGCCTTTTGGCTGGTGGTATATGTGGAACAAAGAGTAGTTAATATAACTTTTAGATGAACTGAACTTCTCTTGGAATTCATAGGTTTGTATCTATTCCATGATCTGAAGTTTCTGCTGAATCAGGTGAGGTGCTTACTGACAATGCAAGGATTCATTAGTATGAAATCTTGAACACAAGCAATTGTAGAGGCACAGGCAAACAGCTGATGTGTGAATTGTCTTCAAATAAATTCACTGAGTGCCAGTCCTGAAGCATTCTTTTGGGTAATTTTCTAAAAATGTAACATTACTTCATTTTATTGGATAATTACATAGGTCTAAATTGTGTTTTATTTCTGACTTTCAGGTTGTTGTGGGTGATAAAGTTGTTCTCATGCCAGTCAATGCAGGGCAGCCTCTACATGCCAGCAACATTGAGCTTCTAGATAACCCTGGCTGCAAAGAGGTGAGTTTAGTGAAGCGAGGAGGAGGGGTAGCTGCTGATCTTAGTTAGATGCATTATGTATTGTTCTCTACTGGTAACCAGAACCCATCATGGGCTAGATGCCAGCTTCGCCTCAAAAAATTAGATGAAATATACTTACTCTTGGCACAGTTCTGTCTGGCACTGAAAGCTTCTTGAGGTTTGCTTGAGTATCTGAAACTCTCACTGAGGTAAGAGTACGTCCTCTTCCAACAGCTCTTTAGGTTGTCTTTGGTAGGCTGTCAACAGACAGGGTAGTGTTTTGCCCAGTGAATCTTCTACAACATCAACATCATTATTATTAATGCTTCAGAGCTTCAGGACCCATGTTAGGCACAAGTATGTAGCTAAGCCATGTCCCCTGCCACCCTAGATGTAGTGTGGTCTTTTAGAAGAATAGAATGTCTCAAAAAGAGAAGAACACCCCTTAAGACTCTAATTGTGTTGTGTTTTGGTTTTTTATCCCAAAGGTAAATGCTGTCAACTGTAATACAAGCTGGAAAATAACTTTGTTCATGAAATTTAGTAGTTATCGAGATGATGTACTGAAAGGAGTAAGTATGATTTTATTAATTCTTTTTCAAATCTGAAAAATCATGCCATATTTGACTGTAGAGAAATATTACATAGTGAATAAAAGAAGAAACGAGGACTTTGTCAAGCTGTTGAGGATCCCTCACTACTGTCATTCAACAGCCAGAATATTTTTCCTTTGTGTTATTATCATACTAAGTGAAAGCAGCTGCTTTGTGCTAGTTTCCAACCCGTTTCCAACCCATTTCCCCTCCCAAAGTGACTGAGGATCCATTAGAAAAGATGAAGCCCAATATGATGAGGGCTCTGTACAGAATAGCTGTGACACTTCAAGTTTATGCCAAGATGCTAAAAGCAGGTATAACAAGCTTACAGAAAGGAACAACGCATGAAAGATGATGAAAGCTGTAGTAAGACAATGTAACTTTAAATGCTAGGAGATTGGACAGCTTCATGCCTCCAGATCACTCCATGAGATCAGTTACATTTTCATTTTAAATAAATATTTCACATTAGTCCTCACTTGTATTTTAATAAGTCATTAACAACTGGATATTTTTCAGTAGGTATCAAGGTACCAGCAGTTCTTAAGGAAGAATTTGAAAGGGGAAATGGTATATTTGTGTAGACCTGTTTGGGGATAGTGTTTGAAGCCTTGGGAGAGGCCAGAAGGAAGCAAAAATGATGCCAGCAGAAGAAATAAAGAGGGGGCATTCATTTTGATTGCATAGTAGAAGAGGTGAGATAATACAATGTCAGAAAAAAACTATTCACTTTCCCTAAATATTGAGAGATTAGAAATAAAAAATTCCTTTAGTAAAGTTAGCTAGAATTTAAAATCACCTCTAGGTTAATTATTGCCCACTATTCATTGCAGTGCTCTGAAACAAGTTCTGTTTTCACAAAAGTGCATGAGTCTCCTGCAGGATTGAATTGTCTCATTTGATTTCCAGACTCAGTGCCAAGATTGTATGCTCCGCACTTGGCACCTGCTCCAGCAATAGGAAACTAATAAATGTTTTCTTTAAATCAGCTATGTTGACATCACTGGAGCTAGTACAAATATAGAGGATGAGTCTAGTGGCTTTGCCTACCACTTAATAATGCTGCTTCTTCATATTACTTTAGGGAGATGTTGTTAGGCTGTTTCATGCAGAGCAAGAGAAGTTTCTGACCTGTGACGAATATGAGAAGAAGCAACATATTTTCCTTCGTACTACATTACGTCAGTCAGCCACTTCTGCAACAAGTTCTAAAGCACTGTGGGAAATAGAGGTATTTTTTTTTCTTTTTGTAAATATTTTAGGCCCTGAAGGCTAGGGTTCAGTAAAAATACTTTACCACAACATGAATCATTCATAGCCTCTCATATCATCATACACCTCCCCATAACTATTATTATTTTATGAAGGTTTGTGTAGGAACACTGAAGAGATACTTTATTGCTGTGTCTGTGTGGAGAGATGTTTTCTTATTATATTTACCTTCGCTAAAATGACGAAGAGTCAAATTTAGACTTGATGTAAATAGTGCGATTTTATCAAAGCCAATCAAATGACATGTATCCTGAGTTCTGAGTGTTTATATTTGACTTCATGTGCAATATAGAACATTGAAATTCATGAATGATAAGAAATCTCACAAATGTGATTGAGTCCATTCTTCTGCAACGGCACATGAACATCTGTTTAATATTAGGATTAATAAAGATGTTGCTGAATGGATGTGATTTTTGAGAAGATGACTAGCAAATAGATTTTTTTGTTTAATTAAGGAATGTTGGAAACTGGTATGTCTCAAACCCTTGCTGTTACAGAAACTCCTATAACACCTATTACTCCTGTAACTCCTATACCTGAAAGTTCTTATGTACTGAACAAACTTTGTGCATTTAACGCGCAGCTCCTTGCTCAGGCAAATGATTGATTGTTGTCTGAGTAAGGACTGTATGGAATACAGTATATTTCACTTGTAGTTATTTGAGTTTACTCCTTAAGAGAAGAGACACTCCTAGGTTTGAAGGTAGTAATTGACCTTCAGCTGAAACAGAATTAAATTGGGATATTTCAAATGATATGGGGATATTTTATCACTTGAACACAAACTTATTGGAAGCCTCTAATGTTGTCAAAAATGGAGCTGGTATAATTGGTGAAACAATGTAAGAGGGTTTGAGTTTTGATTTTAAGTAGTGCTTATGTAAGTGTAGAGCAGCTACACTTACTTTTCTTGAGCTCCAGGTTCACACCATGTCACTTAAAGGCAAAATTTGACTTATAATGTTTGCAGGGAGTATATTAATGAGAACATGGAAAGTAATAGGAAGAGTATTTCCTGGTATCTGGCAAAAAATAAAAGTAGTTGTTATCTATGGTGGGCTTAGTGTGAGCACAGAATTCCTCTCTGTGGTAGACTGTAATTATGTCATTTACATATTTTTATTTGGAATGAGTTGTAAAAAATGTCAGTGATCCAAGTATGATCTTGAGTAGCTTGATTAAAATCTGTACTTCTTTTAGGTTGTCCATCATGACCCTTGCCGGGGAGGGACAGGACAGTGGAACAGCTTGTTTAGATTTAAGCATTTGGCAACTGGAAACTACTTAGCTGCAGAGGTAAGAAGGTTAATTAAATACATTTGAGTTGGTTCTGTGCTGCCTAACCAAGTACTATATATGTCCTGCTAATTCAGAACTACCATAGTAGGTATGTCCACAGTGTAGATCTCTGAAAACATCTCCCACTGGGTGTGAATGGGGAGAAATGGATATGCACTGCTCTGTCATGCTATATTGCTGTAGCTAAGGGTTGCAAGGAAAATTTTCTGACCTACAGGACACTAGTAGGTGAGCTCAAGACTAACCTTAATATCAACTGTGCTGTTGAATCTTGAATCTACTGTTGTCATGACAGCCAAGGCAAACATCACTGTTAAATATCCACCATATTTACACTGAAAACCCCTGGATTCATTTATATCTCTCCTTTTGTTTGCACTTGATTTTTGGAGTAGTGTTGTGATCAGTCAAATATTATTCTTTGCTGGCTCAAGCAGCCACATACAGACTGAAGCTTTTAGAGTGGAACTGAATGCAAGCTAATGATTGAGCTTGATCAGAGAAATCTGTATGCAAGTACTGGAACAGATACTCTAAACTACTCTAATTCAGGAGTTGTCATTCCTTTTTTTTTTTCCCTGTAGGCTCTAGACTTCTTGAAAAAAATGTTTCTGTGGTGCTGATTTCAGTGTATTGATCTCTGCTAGCCAGCTCGTGGTCCAAGGCATCTCTGTGTTCTGTAGAAACTTGAAGAATGACAAACTTATATATTGGTGTCATGACTATTGTGTCATGTGAGTGCATTGTGATTGTAAGTAGGTTGTGGTGTTATGCTATTGCACTCCTGTCTTTTGATTAAAATTTGAGTAAAGAGGTCTGAGGAAGTCGTTTACCCTTTTGGTGGAACAGAAGGTCCAAGAGGAGAAGGAAAAATCTTACAACTTGTCTGGTTATTATCTGGTACTTTATATTAAGGCAAAATAGTGTTGTGACTCCCCAGAAGAGCAGCATAATACCTTCTAAGACCCATAACTGTCATTAAAAATAAAATAGGGCTCTTGACAAGCTGGAATAGAGCAAATAATACCAAGTTTATGAAATGGGACAGCCTTGGATTTTTCCCTGGTTGCAAGAAGCTCTGAACTTTTAAAGTCTTATCTAATCTGTATTAGAACGGGTCTGAGTCCAAGTTATATCAATGAATGAAAAGTATGGGTTTTTTCTACTGATTTCATTAAGTCTGTGCAGGATTGCTTCTTTTGACTTATGCTTGGAAGTATGAGTGTGAAACTTCACAAGAGCCAGATATAAATCACTGTATGTTAGGGAATCCCTGAAAAAAGACTTGCTCTAACTGGATGGAGTTACATTTACAGCAAGTACAACTTCTGTATGCAGACAACTCCTTAGTATTCCCAGGGTGCTGCTTTCACTTGCCAGCTTCTGTCACAGCCTGCACTAATTTCAGAGTAAGAACAATCAGGACCTATCAAACCTTTAGTTATTTCTAATGATGCCAAAACCAGTGTCAAAACATAAAACAGTGGACCACCAGGACAGATACTGATACTATTTTTCATCTAAGACTGAATGTAATTTGGATCTTTTCAATGGTTATAGCAGTAGCTCACGGTGTAAGTTAAAAACCTGATGGGCCTGAGTGGTGAAGAGCATCATGCCTTTGAAGGCAGTGGGCCAACATGCCCTAACTACTTTGGTCTACACTGCTGCCTCCATACTACAGCAGTACTTTAGCTTGTGTTGAAGCCAGCAGGCTTTGTGTAGTTAATATTGGTTAATAACAGCTAATTTTCAAGAGGCAACCAGTACTTCCACTGAAGAGATGGTTCCATTTTCCTCTCTACTTGCAGTGAGAGATGCTCCTAGTAGAAAGATTTTATTCAGGCTAGCTAGGCTGAGCTAAGCTAACTTCCTAGTCAGGAAAGATATCAAGCACTATGACTGATGGGCTTCCTTCTTCTGCCATACCTCATCACCTCAGATGAAGAGGTGTCACATTACACTGAATGTCGAACTTGAGCTTAGGTCCTTTCTACTGCTGGAAGGGAAATCCACATCAGGAAGACTTGTAATATGGAGAGTACAATTGGCACAGTACAGTGAGAGCTGGAAGAGCATTTGATTTAAACAGGGGTGATATACTGTGACTGGAGAGCAGTATTAGCTACTGTATCTATGAAGTGTAAAATACATGCTGCTGGAGATATTAAAGGTACTGCTGTAATAAAAACCTGTGAACTGTTCATATGTGCCTGACATATGAACTACACAGTTCATATGTCAGGCACAACACATCAGCCAGACATACATGTCAAAGATTTATGAACAGGTGGACACCTAATGTGTGTGAACTAACTTTGAATCAATTGGGCACGGCTTACTGAACACTTACGTGTGCTCTTGCAGCATGGGAGGATTACTCATGTTATGGATCATCAACAGAATCACACATTGCCATGACCTGCTTTTCTTTAAGCTTCCATGATAAAGATATCTAGAGTAGAATAATAAATACTAACACATAAACAAAATTATTGAATCTTTTAAGCATTCTATTGTTGGCTAATGCTACAATTTCTGTAACAGTTTGATTATTATAAATCAGGATTGATCACTGTTTATAACCACCTTTTCCTTACTTCATCCTTCCATAAATCAGCTTGATGTGTACCATGGAGACTTCTGCAGTGGAATCTTACATGGGTCAGGTCTCAGACAATAAGCAGAAGTGTCCTTCACCTGGGTATCTCCTTTTGCTTCTCTGCAATTAAGCTTGTACTTTGTGTGAGCAGTGGTGTGCCTTCTCTTTTCCTTTGAGGCTTTCTGTGCCAGATGTAACTGGTCAGTCTCATTTGTGACTTGGTGGGTCACTACTGACCCATATAGTGAAGGATTGCCACTGCAGCTTGTTAACACCAGAGGATGATCTGGGAACTAAGAAAATTCAAGACACTTGCCCCAGAGAATTCAGAAATTTAAAACTAATAAACCTCAAGGTCTTTTAATACTACAGTAAGTAAGTTTAAAAAAAGTGTGAGGCAATACAGTTGTTTAGTAAGCAAAACATATAGGTAAAAGTTGTAACTCTAATTCTTATAGACTTGAGAGAATGAAGTCAGGTAGTGTAAGTCCTAAATTCCATGTTCCTGAGAATCACAATCGGTTGTCCTGTTTTTGTTACCTTTCAAAGACTAAGGGTCCTCTGATATCTCTAGACTTCTGACACAGTTGCGAGTAGTACCATTTCCTTCAATCCTCTTTCCGCTTAGGCTAATTTTCATTAATATACTTTGACATTGTCTAAGACCTACTAATACTGTAAAGCAACCTAGACCCTACTACTAGACTATGGGCTGAAGGTGAGCCACCCTGAAAGACCCACTGCTGATGGAGACCCACTGGCACATGTTTGCTAATTGCACAGAGCTGCATTGTCATTCCCCTATTACTGTGCACATCCTGGGAACACAGTCTGACATATCAGATGCATGAATGTTCTTATACAATTACTTAAGGCATAGGAGGTATATGCTGAAGAAAGGGTTTCACGTTTGGTGGTAATACTTGGGACATCTGAAATCCGTATAGGTGGTAATGTCTCAGACATGTCCAGCATTTGAAAACCTGAAGCCACTGGCTCAGACATTCCAAAACACTGAAATCATAAAAAAGTGGAACCAAATACTCAGCTGAAAAATTGGACAGAGAATTTCTTTTCTTTGTAGACAGTGAGAGTTTTGCTGTTAGTGTCAGAAGGGCTTGATATCACCCAGAAGAGCTGAGACAGTTCCTTAGCAAGAGATTTAAACACTAAGCCACCAGCTAAGATCCAGGCTGCTGAGTTTTATTCTCATCTTCAGAGTCAGCAGTCTTTTAGAAGAAGTTTTGTAGAAAATTCTTTTTTTAGCCCTTGTTACAGCAAAATGACCCAAGTTATTCTGAAGTTTTATATTTATAAAGAGAGGCTGTAAGGTTGGGTGAAGGTTGAATGCTTCACAGTAACAGAGACTTTTCCTAAATTTTTTTAAAGTCTTTTCAGTGAATGTATCACATGTAGAACGCATTCTGATCTATCTGTGTGTGGGAGCGAGCTTCAGTTTACTTCAACAGCCTTTCAGATGATGCAGGTTGGGACCACACAGCTGTGCCTTTCTCATGAGCACACCTAACCTTTTCAATATTATAATTGCCAGGAGAAAAGTCTCTTTGAACTGAATATCAGCGTATCAATTGTGCTGAACCAAAGCATGCACCTTTAGTATTGTTCTCCATGTGTATAGCAGCTCTAGTTCTGTAATTTTTAAACTGGGTAATCTATACTGAAACTGTTAACAGTTGCTGTATGAGGATGTTAAATATGTGTGCACATGCATGCCTATATGCACATAAAAGAAATGCAGAATGTTTGTAATTTCATATTAAACTTCTTAGGTGATATGGATATTGCTAAAATAATCACAAATACATATGCAAATGTCACAAAGTCTCACATATTGCAGTAGACAGTAGGTTGCAGTACCTGGCTCATGAAATGTGAACGTGGACATAACTGCAGTTCAGAATTTGTAAGGAAAAATCTGTGATAATCCTGTTTTACTTAGTTGAATACACTAAGCCAAAGTTACGAGACGTCTTGGTCAAGATTTGGCAGTAAATCTGGTGAGGTAATTGTCTTTAACACTGAATTAACTAAACTATACTAAATTAATTAAGATAATGCAGGTAAGATGGCAGCCTTAATGTTTACCTTCTGTGATTCTATAAAATTGTGGTCATAAACAAGGGTTCATATTATTATGGTGTCTTCCAAGATAGCGCACAGAGTACTGATGTTGCTCCAAAAAGTAATCTGTGCCCTGAAGTTCTTCTAGACAAAAGAGAAGAGTGAGAACAGGCTGGCCAATGCAATAGATTGAAGCAGTGAACTCAGAGGTAATGGCAGAACCAAACGTACTTTTGCTGACTTGTAGTGTGCTTCAGTCATGAAACCAAATTGTTGTTCATTCAGTAAAGCTCTCAGGAGTAGCATTGTCTTT